ACGGTTTCCTACGGGTTTCTATAGAAGACTATGACCAAAAAAATTAAAAAATCATAATTTTTAATATTATGTAGAAAAAAGGAAAAAAATACGAAAATGCAAAAAAAAAAAAAAAAATTCTTCGAGAAAAAAAATAATAAAAAAAATGCTAGATGCGAAAATAAAAATGTTAAATGCATAATGAAAAAAATGATAAATACAGTTTAAATATTACTTGGTGCATATTTCATTTTTGGTATGTGGGGGCATTATTGGAATAAAATTTATGAAGGATGTGAAGCTAATGTTTAGTTAGACTTGCCATTTAGTTCTAATATATTTTCTCAACAGGGACCTATATCTTGAAGCCCCTAAAAAAAATATTAATTTCATATATCAATTCGATTTTGACACGAAAAACTAAGTGATATAATGAAATGATAATTTATAAATATAAAGTAAAAAAACATAACCAAGAAAGAATATTTTTAAATGATAAAATATCGCGATATATTGACCCTTTTGTTAAAATATCACAAGAGAGAGGTATAGAGTGCGTTTTGCCGTGAAATATACATAGTTTATTTTGTTTAAAAATAATATTTGTAGTTTTATGTTTTTGTTTTAATTGTTAAATTATTGATTCCACTTTCTTTGCTTATTATTGATGAATTAATTTTTAGCTCTATAATAATTTATGCGAAGGTCCAATTTCTTGATTAAGATGTGTCGTCTGACTTGGAAAACTTGGGAGAAATATCAAAACAGTTATTAATGCGTTGACATGGAAATTCATATACACTGTGCATGCCATTCACTACTATCATACTATGCAATTAATGGGAAAATTATAGTTTTCACCCCTCATGTTTGCAGTGATTTCATATTTGGTCCCCATGGTCACAAAAAACACGTTTGATCCCTAATGTTTCAATAATTTAGCAGTTTTGAAACATGAGGGACTGAATGTGTTTTTTGTGAACATGAGGGACCAAATGTGAAATCGATGCAAACTTGAGGGATAAAAACTATATCTTTCCTTCCAATATATCTATATATATATATGTATATATATATATATATATATAGGTATATATATATCAACATCTAAATTTGTTCTTCTACTTATATTGAGAATACTAGACATGCAATCCTCGAACATATTGTTATTTTGGCGAGGGCCTATTCGAACGAGGGGGTCCAATATTTCCATCACATGATCCGGCAACGCAGCATCAACAAAATTGTGAAGATTGACCTGATCCATGAACGAATCGTCTGTTGGCCTTTTTTTTGTGAACATCTCCAATACGAGGATGCCATAGCTATACACATCCCCCTCTGCCGAGATCGCGTTACTCATCCCATACTCTGCACATA